ACAGAGTTAGCAACTTGTCAAATGCAGAGTGTGAGAGAGTGGAAACAACTTTAATGGGCATTTGCAGTTTTGTGAAAAGTATTGGTGTAACAGTGGCACAAAACTGGAAGAAGACGTATTAGTTTGGAAAATTGTGAGTGCTGACGTAAAAGTTAATAAAAAAACACAGACGTGAATGATGAGCAGTCATTAACCTGTGGCTGGTTTTATTTGAGCTCGACAAGAACAGTTCTCCACAAGAGAACTGCACATGGTCAGTTTCAGTCATCGCTCTTTCTGCTCATTACTGCAGCAAAATTTATGTGTGTTTCTGTCTATAGCCTATACCACTGTGTAGTATTTTTGGCAGGGACGAGTGGAAGGACTCCAAGTGATGAGTGTCAGCATGTTGGTGGTGAGTGGAGAGCCTATCTTCTCCTCCAGACCACACACACCCACACACACACACCCACACCCACACACACACGCATCTGTCCTTAACTGACAATCAGGATTTCGCCCAAACTAATGAACTATAACTATCAGTTAAACATTATACGCTATGCTTTTACATTTATTTATGGTAAATAGTTTTCGTCGACCTATTGGTCCGTTTCACTCAGTGTGTGATGTGTGAATCATCATATTAACAATGCTGCTATTTGCGCATTAAAAATATACCCTTGTTACAAAGAAATTGATTAATTGATATTTTATAATGTGCCAGGCACTGGTCCATCCCAGATTGTATGTTTCAATGTTATCGGTTAAGGTGTGCTTGAGCAGCATCAACCCCCCCATCCGCTCCCAGTGAATCCAGTGGGGGGGATCCCCTGCTGTGTTCTCACATCAACTTCTCCTGGATTACTACACACTGTATAGGAGGCCAGTATGGACAGAGTCTATAGAAACTGCGGAGCGTCTTACTTGGACATTTGTGTTCACATGTGCACGTCCTCCAGAGAAAATATGTCCAGTGCATATCTGAAAGACACATTTTTGACTAATTGAAAAGCTTCTCCCACTGGGGACAAAAGCTGCATCCCCAATTGGGAAACAGCAGATATTTGTGGTGGGTGGTTACAGTTGAGTGTTAGGTTGGCTAACCTTAGTGTTAGACGAATGGTGGTTATGGCAAGTCTCCATTAAGTGACTAAAAGTGTATGTAAATGTCCCCCAATGACCTGCGACTGTGTGTGTGTGTGTGTGTGTGTGTGTGTGTGTGTGTGTGTGTGTGAGTGTGTAGAGGCAGAATTACAGTAATGAGAGCTCTGTGTCAGCAGCTCCTCCCGTCTCTCCTCAGTCTGCTGATTAGGGCCTGTTTAGATAGTTCACTCACACACACACACACACACAAAAATCAGGGCCACTGACCCACCAATGACCCTCTAATTAATTAACCCTTCCCTCTCTTCTTCTTCCTCGCTAATCTTTTTCATCCCTTCATTCCAACCACGCACACACTACCAAAAGCAAACAAGGGACACACAAATTTAGAGACACACCGTGCCACCCACCCATCCATTCTCACACACACACACACACACACACAGTTGCAGCTCATCAGCGTTAATCCCTTCCCTCAGTCTTTTTCCTGCCATCTAATCCAACATCTATCAGAATCCAGCCACCTTCCCTGCAACTAAGCCCTGCTATTTCTAGACAACATCTATTTGTGTGTGTGGAGATAATTGAGGCCCGTAAGTGTGTGTGTGTGCAAATGTGTGTTAAGGGCATGCATCAGATTGAGAGTGGGTCAGTGTGTGTGTGTGTGTGTGTGTGTGTGTGTGTGTGTGTGTGTGTGTGGGAGTTCGGGTCATGTTTTCCCTGCAGGGTGAATACGGTAACAAGTGGGTCCGGTTACATGAAGGTGTAGCCTGCGATCAGATGTGGATCTGTGTCCTGACCTGTCTGCAGTTGGACTAAACAAGGACACCGATAATCCTTCTGACCACTACACGTCTGCTCCTTTCTGCTGCCAATCGGACTTTTTTTAGCATCACATTTGTTCAGCAACTGGCATCTGACGGCTTCTCAGAGTTAGGACCATTATAGAAAGAATCTTATTGTGCTGATCACAAAGGTAATGGAAAAACTCATTTTTTCTACTATGGATGTTTAATGAGCTGAAGGAAGAATTACTGTAGTGGTAACGACAAGGTTTTTCCTCTATTTAGAAAATGGGGTGCCAGTCAGAGTCCAGATTGACAGAAAAAATATTATTAATGAAAACGAATCACTCTGTCAACCCACACAAAACAATAACAATGAACCAGTGACAAGAAAACATCTCCCCTAAACAGCACATTCAGAAGAAAACAGGCAGTACACAATTTAGTTCCTGCATTAAGGTAAATATTAAAAAGCAGCAAGCACAGCAGAGTGAGTGCAAATGAGAGCGTGTATTAAATCTTTTTCGTTTTCAAGCCCAATCCCCAAAGTCGGTTCCACAATTTCCCAATTTACATTTGCTAAAAATGTACCATGTTCTTGTAGGCATGGAGATAGAGTGGACAAAATATTAGAATCACACACGGTTAAACAGTAGCATCACAACCTGCAAGGATACATTGGTTATTTTTTAATGACCAATGATTCCTTAGATGTCATCATCAAACCTTAATGACAAAGAAACACAATTGAGGCTTGATAGTTTAGGATTAAACTATACATTTTATTATAAATAACTATATAAAAAGAAAAAAAAGAAAAGCAAATATATCAAATAAAATGTTATCAAGAAATGCTACACTTTGCTACTGCTATATTGATCTGGCTCTACATTTTTTGATTGATGCAAGTAAATATGATCAAGTGTTTTGCTTTGCTTCAATAAATCTCCTCACAGATCTCCTCACAGAGAACTAAATATCTAAAAACAAATGTATTCACTTTTCGATTTTCTTTTTATTTGATGATGCTCTCATAGGGAAAATTTGTGGCTTTGTAAATATGACTGGACTCGAATCACAAGCTTCGACTGTGAAATGTTCACAAATTATGACCATATCAACAAAATACCACAAAAAAAACCTTAAAATGTTGGATTATAACCCAATCTAACACTAATGCACAGTTTTCAGTGGAAGTTGCTTAAAATGAATTCAGAATCAGAAGGCAGCAGTATCGTCATTACTCCAGCATGAGCAGCTCAAGTTTACTGTCATTTGTATGTCAATTATAATTGAGCCAAACTTGTCGTTCCAATTAACATGTACTCATCTGCCAGAGTAAACATACATCCAACAGTTTGGTGTAAACATATCCATTAAACACTCTCTGTTCCAACAGTGTTTGCCATTGTTATGGTTACAGTGTTAGTTTTCAGTTGTAGTCATATACAGAGATTTAATCTGCTGTGTTATTTTGTGCTCACAACAGTCTGTGGGCTGCTGGAGAGGCCTGTAGCAAGGTTAAACAAGCTTTCCTGGAAACCTGAACCAGGCCTGCTACAACAGCACAATGTGGTGTAGACACTGGGAGACGCAGATGGAATCACAAGCTTGCTCTTGCTCCCAATCGTGTTCTTAATCTCATCATGAATTTATTGTTTATCCTGCTCCCTGGTTCTTAGTACCTGGAGAGGGATGCTCCAGGTGTTTTGTAACAAGAGGTGTAACGTTGAACTGCTGCCAGAGGAGCTGATCACACTGTTGCAACCAACAGATCCCGAGATGACTCACGTTTGTGAATGGCTCGGTTTGCCTGGGTCAGTGCAGCTCAGTTTAGTTCGCAGGGACACTGCAGACACTTTTGGGCGTTTTAATAATAAAAACAATTCAGAGGGTGATAACCTTGGGTTTCCGTCCTATTCACTGAGCACACATGCTATTTCCAGCAAAATTCAATAAACATCCAGATAAAAAGCACAAAAGATGTCAAAGAGGTGGTCACAGCTTCTAGTGCAGTGTTGGATAAGTGTGGGCGTGTGTGGCAGTGGTTCATCGTTTATGTGGTGGGATGTCAGGAGACATCAATACATCCATATTTTTTGTAGATTCTGGGTTAAAATAATTTGCACAAAAAGATGAACAAAACACCCCCACAATGCTCCTAATTCGCATCTTTACATACCGACATCGATAAACTAAATCTTCTGAAAAAGGTTGTTGTTTGTGGGCCTCACAGGACTGAGTGAAATGATTATTATTAGAATTTTTCCTCGACCTTTGACCCATCATCATTAATCATCAGGAAATACCATCCAAAGTAATACACCCACAAAATTTACACACACATACACACGGGTAAAAACAAAACCCTGCTGGTGCGGCTATGCTGGCGAGCAGGGTAACAACAAATACAAAAGAAGTTTAAAGGGGGACAGAAAGGAGGGAGGGGAGATTCTGGCCAGTTGAATCAAAGCTGGATGAGAGACGAGTGAGGGGGTGGGTACTCTGTGAAGGTGTGCCAAGGGAACAGAGAGGGAGAGACAGAAAGGAGAGAAAGAGACTGGGACAGAAGAGCCAGCACAAATCCCACATTCAAAGGCATTCTAGGCACATTCCTGCACATCAAACACACCACAGAGTCCAGAGTCATGCAAAAAGAGTGGCCAGCATTATATACATAATATATGCATACTTCTTTCCTGAAGGAAAAAAAACTGCACAAAAATATATACACATCTGCAGTGGTCCAGAAAATCGGAGCCAAGAAAGTTAGTCAAAACATTGCATAGCTTTGCGTTATCTCAGTCGGAGATCGAGTACATATGTGTGTGTATGCATGTACACATGTAAGACAGGAGAGCAAGAAAGGACATGAAACACAGTGTGTTGTATCTGGCTCAGATTTTGCCTCAACGCAATGCAGAGTCATCTGGTAACACGCTGCAGAAATCAATCAAAGACAGTGCACATTCCTGCAGGTAACTTTATAACATGAATGGAGAATTCTCCCTGTAGTAAAAAATATTATAAACTGCTGTGCACAGTTTTATACGAGTGCTAACCCTTTAAATTTAAAGTCATCATGACACAATATGAAATTAAAAAAAAGTAAATGTAAAAAAGTAATACCTGTGGTACTGGGTCTGCAGGAACTGAAACTCCTCCTTGATGCGGTCCAAAGTTTCTGGGTAGGTTAGTTTCAGTGACTGGGGCGCCCCCGATGCTGCCGCCGCTGCTGCAGCTGCAGCTGCCACCACTGAGGCAGAGGACCCAGGGGGCGGCTGCAAAGGGGCCTGAGAAGAGAAGAGATATCAGGCTTAGTAGGAGAGCAAAAGTAGAAAAAGATCACAGTTTGTACCTCAGGTAAGGTTTAGTACGCTTTCGGTACAGCAAAAACAAGAAATACAAACATTACACAACTTCTCCTTTTTTTCTTCTTTTTTCAAATTTGCTTACTTTCAGCATGTCTTTAAAAAGGTGTTCTCGCAATGGAGTATGGCCACTTATCTGCTTACCTGTGGCATTTTTTTATTAGAGCGTGGATACCAGACGTGGTCAGGCTGTGTTCGGAAAAACTCTAAATGATAATCAGGTCGGTTCGGTCATGTTGACTGGGTTATCTACTTCATTTCGTACACTGCATGTGCCTTTAATCGTGGCAAAAACCACAAGTGTTAACATTTTATTTCAAAATTGTGACAACCTACAAGCAGAGGGAGTGATTTTCTGTGTAACATGACTTATTTGATGTCGTAATGGAAAAGCTCCACTCAAGCTGTTTCAACCATGACAAGAAAATATGTACCTGACCACCAAATCTGTACACGCTTACCACCATGGCTGTGGAACCATTGTGAGGGGCTGTCTGTTATAGAGACACTGTCCTCACTAGCAGACGCAGATGTCAATGGGTCACCAAGTTGGAGGGGGAGGGCGGAGTGTACAAGAGCCTCTTAGCCAAATGAGCACACTTTGTCTTATTTCAAGTCTGAGTAGAAGAAAGACATAAAAAAAAAAAAGAAACAGAGCAGTGGGAGGGAGAGAAGTGGAGAAAAAGGACCCCATCGTGGCTGAAGACCCCTGCCAACCCCCGTGCTTAGTCTCCCTTCTCTACAGGGTCCAGAGCAATTAGGAGACTACAACCACAGAGGTAATGCTGCAGGACAGGCAGACAAAAGGGGGCTGAGAGCCGGACTGGAAGGGTGGTGGGGGCTGTCCGTCGGTCTGTCTGTTTGGCTCTTTGTCAAAATAACAGAGAGCAGAAGCTGACTGGGCCTGGAACAGCAGGTTCACATGCTTATCAATGGTGAATATGACAGTGAGGCAGAGTGATAGTAATGTACCGTAATTTTCTCTTGCAGAGAGGCACTAGTCTTAATATGACTGTTAGTTTAATGGAAGCCAGTCAGGTCATTGATTCAAAACATGTTTTGCTCTTTTTCAGTCTGTGATAGGAAAAGGAAACTTTTTTTAGAGGTCATATCAAGATTAAATGTTTACAAGATAATGAAACTTTGTTAAAACTTAATTTGGCTAAATGGTTTAATCGATAAAACCTTCAGCTGTGTGAAGGTATTTCTTTTATTTCATAATCAAGAGTTCTATGAATGAGCCTGTGAGGTTTGTGAGTTTTTGCTGCATTTTTTATTAATTTTTTCACAGAATTATTAAAAAATTCCACATTAAGCTTTGTACGGAGCTGGAAACTGAAAGAATCCAGTTGCTTGTGTCTTACATTCCAACAGCCTGCACATGCAGCTTTGCCAACCACTCTGTGAGTTGCCCTGCAGCAATATTCACCATTGGAGGGTGGTGGACGAGGGCAGCTCATGTTTCTTTAATATGCATCCATAACTGGTGGCCATGTAGCCTTTGTTTTAGAAGTCCCTCTTGGCAGGTATGTTCATTAGGCCAATATTCAAACCGAGCCTGTTCGTACATTATGAAAAAACTAACCCAACTATGAATGAGGAAGAGTTTCTGTGTCACCTTTATTTGAAACATTGCTTTAGTTTCCAAGACCTGAGTCTTGACCTTGCATATGATGCACCATCCACCTTATGCATCATGTAATAATCTTCAATGTCAGCTACAGAGCCTCCATTCAAAGAATCAGAGTAGAAGCACAACAGGAGATATTTAACTGCAATAACATTAAATCAAAGAAGCTGTATCAGCCTTCAGGCTCCCTGACTCAGACTCTTTGAAAACTCTATGAGATGAATGTTGAGAAAACAGTTATACACGTGGGACACAAAGGTCCAAGAGATGTAAAAATAAAATCCTGATTCTCGTCAGTAATCAATAGGTTTGAGTATGTGGGTAGGAATAATTTATTTTAGTGTTTTTAAAAACATCTCTCATCTTAATGTCCTTGGATTCAACAATGTCAATTTCACATTAATATTAATTAATAAACAACTTAATCAAAACACCACTCAACATTGCTGCCAAAAAGAATGTGTTGATGACGAGCAGAGAGTAGATATCTACAGTCTATAGCTACATTCACAATATATCATTTAAGTTACACAATTGAGTTTAAAATGAATCAGCCCCAACAGGAGCATTTTTGCGTTGTTTAAGAAGTAATCGCCACCCTGAGAATGCATATCACATGACCATTCAAGGACACTTGGCGTGAGTGCCAGTCTAAACAGGAAGCAGATCATCTGTAGATATTCCTAAATTGCAGAAATGATCGCAAACAAGGAAAAGCAGTGGTGACAAATTAGTGCAGGGATTTTCTTCTTGGACCAACAATGAGGAGGGACTGTTACCAAAAGCTCTGCATTCACTGTTAGTCAATTTTCCAACCAGGAAGCAAATGTGGGTGACTGTGTCATCGTATGAATAATGTCTCCTTTTCTGCTCATCCAGGTCCAACTTAATTAATAAAATTAAGTTGGACCACGGTTTTTTTTTAACCTTCTTGCCATTTAGGGGCCCCAAAGACTTTAGGTAGGTAAAAGGTAAAATTGGACCAATAGGATGAGGCGAGACAGCCAAGTGTGGAAGCCAGAAATAAACCGAAAAGATAGAGAAAGTGTTGTAAAAAGGGATGGAACTAAATAAAAAAAATAGGGAAAAAATCTAACTTGGAAAAAAGAAAAGAGAATAAAGAAAGGAAAGAAAGAAAGGAGATAGGAGAGGGGGCTGTGGCCTCATTGTTCCTCTTTCTAACAAGCTGCTCTCAATCTGTCGGCCAGATTCCCCTCCTAGAGCACAGACAACCACACATGCACACTCACAACCACACACCTCTTTTCCCTTGCATGCACAGCTCCACCATTATGCACACTCACCCCCACAAAAATACACATGCACATTTTGTCAGGCTTGCACACACACACACACA